ACCATTGCCGTTTACGAGATACTNTGCGTGTTATGTGGAAGGGTAAGATATAAAACTTCTCTTTATTTCTGAACATGGGCCCCCACTTTGAGTTTAGTTCTGCAGACAAGACCTCATGGATCCCGTCCAATCAAACACTAATCAAGGTATTTTGGAAACGCAAAATTAGGAATTGTGGGATTGCAAAACACAAAGAGGCTGTCATATTGCTCTACTTTAATATCCCACAATTCTCTCAGCATGGGTCTTCACTCTAGGTACAGTAATACAGACTGGACAACATGGATCCAATCCAGCACCAATCACAGTATTTTGCCTTCAACCTACCATGAAAGTGTATTCTTATTCTAAAGACATTATTTTTAACCAATCAAAGTGTCATGTAGAACCCTTTTCTTGATGAAATTAGGAATTATGGGATTGCAAAACCCAAAAAGGCTGTCGTATTGCCTTACTGTAAGTTTTTATATCGCACAATTCCTTATTTTGTCAAGAAACAGGTTCTACATGCCACACTTTCATTGGCTTACAATACTATCGTACAGACCTTGGTTAAAAACTTGTTATATTACAATGTAGACAATGTAAGATATCAGAAAACAGAAAAATACGAAATTGTAATCTGATCTGAATTGTTTTGAAAAAAGATAATGAAATAATAGGAATTTAGAATGTAAACTGTAGATCATGGGAAAAAAAATGAAATGAATGGAGTTTTACATCCTACTATTCTTCACCTCGTGGGCTAATGAAGTTGGGCAATACTAGTCAGCGCTAGCTTTCTGAGACTGGGGGTACAAACAAATGAAATGAATGGAGTTTTACGTTCTATGACAGATAGATAAAGGGGAGATAATGATAATGATGTAGACTAGATCAAGGTATAATTTTTCTTACAGGAACACCGCGGGATGTGAGCTATGATTATGTAAAAGATAAACTCGAATCTTTACATGGAATAGAGGCTGTTCATAGTCTCCATATATGGTCATTGACGTTGGGTCGTAACGCTCTTACTGTGCATTTAGCTATAAGTAAGTATGAATATCTAAAATAGTCAACTTTTTTGACTTTCTGAACGCAATGCCAAACTTTGTTGTCCTGCCCGATTACCAAATAAGCCAAGTTGATTGTTGGTTGTCAACATGACGTCATTTACTTGGTTACGTCGATCAAATGGCGGCTGTGAGTTTTATTCACAATCTTCGTGTGAAAGTCTGATGACCTTGAATAAGTCATCATCAGATTGTTTTTGATATACTGAAAAGTTCATTTGATGCTATTAATGTTTTGCCAATATGTTGTTTGGATTTCGTCATAATATTGCAGTTAGTACCTTCCAAATCCAAAAACTGTATTGGGAGGATCAGATGAATCTTAAGATCCAACCCAGCCCAACCCCCCCATTTCCAAACCTACGTAACAACATCGTAATATATATTTATCTTTTAGTAACCTTTCTACAATATCAATCCCTATCTTCTTTAATAATTACACTTCTTTTAATTTCTTTTTTTCAGAAAATATTGTTACACATAACAACGTTTTACAAAACGCTAAAAAATTACTCAAATCTGAGTTTGACTTCTATCATGTGACTATTCAGGTAGAGAACTATCACCAGGAAGTGATGTCACAGTGTGATGAGTGCAATGAAATTAGATGAACAAATTCTTCTTACATACAACAACCAATCAACATCCTTCTTTCAAGATGGATTTACAGTTTTCTCTTTTGAAATCAGATTGGCTAATAGAAATTCTTTCGACATAAAGCAACTAATCAACATCCTTGTTTGTTTGACCGAGAGTTTCTCTTATTTTTTAGTTGGTTTTCAACGGCCAATCAATAAGCTCCTTTTCCAGTTTGTAAGATCTGAGGGGAAGTTTTCTTCTGAAATCAGATTGGCTAATACAAATTATTTCCAACATCGAGGAACCAATGAACATCCTTGTTTCAAGTTAGACTGAGAGAATGGCCTTTTGTGTTGAAATCTGATTGGTTAATACAAATTCTCCTTACACAGAGCAACCAATCAACAATCTTGTTTCTTCACCAGAAAATGCTAAGATGAAGAAAATAAATTACGTTAATAGGCTGATATTCTAAAATCTAATGATTAACAAAATCTGAGTAACATTTCAAACTCAGGGTATAAACAGTGAATTTTACAATCCGTTGTTCGTGTCATCTGTTCATTTAGAGCCAGCGTTGGATATTTCTGTCAAGTAATGTCTTCTAAACTTAAACCAAATATTAAGATCAAAATGGTACTACTGCTTTGCCAAAGTTTGAAAATAAACCAATACTAGATAGGTATATTTTTGTTAAAAGAGTTTAATAGTTTGTATATAAGAGGTATATTTAAAATGTTATTGTTAGATCTATTATCTATCTTTCTACTCTGGGTATTAATATGCATTTTATCATTTGTTTGTGTTGATTGGAATATCAGCTTCAAAATAGTTCTGATAATCTTAGAGTGATAGTAACTTCCTTAAGTGGCATTTAGTAACTCGGGTATGAATATATTAACACAATTATATGGATAACAATTACTTTAATAAATAACTTGCAACGTTTCGATGATGATACTTTCGTCTTTATCAAGTAATGATACAAAATAACAGAATAGTATCATCGTAGAAACATCGCTAGTTATTTAGTACAGTAATTGTTATCTATAAAATTGTGTTCATATAATTCTAATAGTCTTAGAGTGATCTTGAATTGTCTTCCCGTTTCTCTCCCAACTAATATTCGACCAAAAATTCCTAACTAAACATCATCCCTCTGTCATACAATCTTGTGAAAAGTGGAAATATGGGCATATGTGGGCATTTCTATCAAAAAAGATCACCCAGATCATCCCAGAAAATTCACCTCAAAATACCACACTTGTAAGACTGAAAATTCCCCTCTATAAAATCATGTTACAAATAATAACTTTTCCAATGGTTAACATTTTCATCAACCTGAAGACAATCTAAAACTCTCAGTAGTATTTTATAGTTGATATTTCAATTCATATAAAAATAATTGTTATAATTTGAATGGTAACTCACTGTAGACAGAGTAAGATATAATTTCAGTCTTGTTTTAATATAGACCAAGATAATTCTTATTCTAACATTCCACACTAAAGTTTTCTTATTTTATTGTCATATTTTAACATATTTCATTTGAACAATATTTACCAGAATTAATCAGTTCCTCACATTCCAAGGTATATTTATATCTAATAAGCTAGTTATGTACCTCCATGCAGTGGCATAGACCGGGGGGAGTGGGCAACATAGCATGTTGTCTCCTCTTTTGTAGTTGAGATGATACTAGTACTGGTGGGTGTCCAGGTGGCCTTCCCTGCGATCAAATTTTCTAATCTTAAAGGGCGGAGAAGCATCTAACCCAATATTGGCTGTAAAAGTATGCATGGTATGGCATTCCCCGGCGTCCCCCTCCCCCCAGATACTCCACTGCAACCATGGATACGATATCAAGATTTGAAAGTCTCTTTCTATTTGTGTGCTCATTGGTTAACAGATTCTCATAAAAAAATCCAAATCAAAATTCTCCACTAGACTGTAATCAATCAGATATATTTGTTCCCTGATTCAAAACGTAAACAAGAGAGTAGTCTATTTTAGTTATAGGGAGAATAAGTAGAAATTAAACTATACAGACTAAACTTACTATCTGTTGATTACTATGTATACTGCCTACAAAAATGGACTCTTTATGTTTTGAATTATACTTGGATATACATGAATATCATTGCTGGATTAAACTTGTTCATTGTTTTTATTCTTGTATTTATTTTCTAGTTATCTCCCTTTCTTTATTTTATTAGATATTGTTAAAAATTGTCTCTATATCTTATCCTTGTCATAATAAGCATAATATCTTGTCTTATATTGTCTTGTGGCCGTGGGACTAAAATAGTTCTATGCGCCCAGCAGTGACACCGGGAGTAGGGTTGCCCCCCAAGAAAAATGGTTTGCATCCCCACTTTATTTTTCAAAAAATTCAAAAATATGACTTTTTGACCCAAAATATGGGACAATGTTTTCTAAGTGAATTTAAATATCAGGTACAAACTAGAAGTCTAGTGTTAATCAATGAAAAGTTTTCTAAGATTAAAGATGGGTTCCCTTATTTTTAGTTATAACCAGCAGAATTCCAATGAGTGACTGATCAAGAAAGGTAAAAAAGTCTTTTTTTTGTTTATCCAGGCTGTACACACATGGACATTTATGATTGGTTATAACTCTTAATTGCTTAATTTTACACTGAAAGTAAGGAAACCCATCTTTAACGTTACTATTATTACAATCAATATTAAAATTCTTAATAAATTTCTATTTGTGTTTAATGTGCTGTGTTTAATGTGCTGTGTATTATTGTGCTGTGTTTAATGTGCTGTGTATTATTGTGCTGGTCATGTGTTGTAATATTTTTATTAAAATGAAGGGTTTATATTCTTAACTGTTATTGTTTAATTGTTGAGGGTTATGATAAAATTATGGTATTTTGTGGCTGATATATTACAAGTCAGTATTTTGGAAACATTGTTTGAAAATTTTCCATCTGAAAATCCAGGTCTTTGGTGAAACTATTGATTAAACTAGTTCCGTGGACACCATTTAGCTGCAAAAAAATGTCTGAGGCATTAGTAGGGAACAAAGTAGCCACCTTAATCTAACACTATACATTATACATGTTGTCAGGACTATTTGTCCAACTGATTGTGATGTGGGAGTTGGAAATTCTCATTCCTTGCACAGCTCAATGATCAGCCCCAAATTGATGGTTAAAGATATAACATTCTATTGCTGGTTTGACATGGTTTATTTTTTCTCTTTTATTTTGGAACTCAGTTATTCATTTTGGTAACTGCTTCTGGTTTATTAAATACTGATTCTGGTTTATTAAATACTGATTCTGGTTTTACAAGATAAAAAAAAAGAATACTGATTCTGGTTTATTGATAATTGGTTTTGGTTTATGGAATACTGGTTCCAGTTTATTGGATTATGGAACTGGTTTTAGAATAAGGGTTCTGGTTTATTGGATTATGGAACTGGTTTTACGAATAAGGGTTCTGGTTCATTGGATTCTGGAACTGGTTTCACGAATTCTGGAACTGGTTTTACAAATTCGGGTTCTGGTTTAAGAAATTCTGTGTAATGAGGTTCTGCTTTATTGATGACTACTGGTTCTGGTTTATTAAATACCGCTTCTGGTTTAAGAAGCTCTGGTTTATGGAATTCTGGCATTTCTTTGAAGTAATGAGGTTCTTGGTTAAATTCCGGAACTGGTTTCGAGTCGTCTGATTTAATAGATATAGGGAACAATACACAAGCCACGGTGTCCTTATTTCCTCCCACTAGTTGCCATTTCACCACTACTTGTAACTAGAAAAAAAGAATACGAAATGATTTCGGTGAATATGAGGGTTTGCTTAGTTTTGGTGGAATTGCAGGAGCCACAGACGTCTGATTGAAAATTGGAATGGTTCAAATTAAAGCTATGAGTGTCCTCGATAAACATGGAAAAATAAAGGCCATGATAATATTCAAAAAGAATGGCCATCTCATAACTTCTATGGTTAAACTAAACTGCGTTTCATTGTATGACACCATGAGATTCTGTGGTATAAAAGCGTACCACAGAATAGTTTTTCTCCGGCATCTCTCAGCCTCGAGAGTCATGAAATTGACCCCTGACCTTGACATGAAATATTTACTTACCGTGGGGTATTGTTTTAATACAGGTAAGGTGCTGTTATAGGAGTAACTAGTACCACTGTTAACAGGGCAGGTCACCCCACAATCTGAACAGGCGTCAGGGTTTGGCATAGGAAAGGATATAGGTACTCCCCCTAATATACCAAATACTTCAGTCTTCAGACTTGCACTGGTTATTCCTGGAAAGATGAGAGTATACACTGTTAACAACAATATATATATAATACAACGTTTCGACAGTACTACATTTGGATTGTGGCCTACGCTAGCGAATTCAGCAAATTCTAGCCTTAAGGTCGTGGACATTTATTGGCTGTATTTGCTAACGTCTAATCAAATCAAATCGTTGATACAAAAACAGAGGTGAATGATGTCAAGGTATTAGACGCAGTTTGTAATGGATTGACTTTGTGGAGATGATTTAACTTGTACTCACCTGAAGTAAAATTCAGACCAACTGTGGCGTTAACACCATGATGAAAAACACAGGGCTGTTGGGTACACGGGGATAATTCTACCGACTGGACACTCCCTGAGTTGTCTGTAAATAAAATATATCAATTTTAATCCGCCACCCCCGAACCAGTTGTCAAGACGTTGGAATTTGTGGAGTTTCAACAGGACAAGTGTGTGATGAAGTTATCAAATGGTTAACTCTCACGGACTCTGTCGACCACTCTCACAACGTGAAACTCTGAGTAACAACATGTTTCAGGTTCTGTTTTACTATTTGAAGATCTCACAACGTTTAACTTCCAGTATCAACATGTTTCAGGTTCTGTTTTAGTTAACTGAAAATCTCACAACGTGAAACTCACAGTATCAACATGTTTCAGGTTCTGTTTTAGTTGTCTGAAGATCTCACAACGTTAGACTCCGAGAAACAACATGTTTCAGGTTCTGTTTTAGTTGCCTGAAGATCTCACAACGTTTAACTCTGAGTAACAACATGTTTCAAGCTCTGTTTCAATATATCTTAGTTTAACTACAAACATGTACAACAAAGCAAGCCAGTCTGTATTACTTACCACAAGCCTTGAACCGGACCGACATCGCCGACACTTTCATTCTAGACAAGACACAAAGATAGAGGTATAGTGCTAGAATAAAACTGCAGGTTACAGGCAGCATGGTGATTGTTATTCTACAGTTCTAGTGATTATTATACACACTGTCTCTAATACTTTAACAATTTCAACATTTCTTCTTCTCTTTATACTGTCCCTTAATCTCCTTCAGCGTGAAAACCCTTCATTTAAAGATACCATTCCACATAGAAGTTGGTCAGAAATTGATCAGTTGGACAGTGGCTCAACTGGATGAATGGGGCCTGTGGACTTAATCGGGTTGGGACCTCTCCGCCGGGTAAGACCTTTTCAACATATGCTTTCCTCATTCTGAGACAACTCTGTAAGTCAAATTAATGCTTGTTAATATTTTTTAGGAGTGGAGGTCCTTACGGGCGGGGGCTCAACAGTCTCTTGGGAGCATCGGTTTATTATTGTCCATATTCATTCAATTCATTGAATTGTAAATACATAAACGGTGTGATAAAATTGAACTAACTGGACCTGTATCTTTAACTATCGCTATCATCTTTGAAGGTCGGCAGTATAGTTTCTGAAAATAGACTGACCCTAACCCTTCATCCTGACCTTTGTTGACTTGGTGTTATTTAGGGATGAATATGACATAATTAGAATGTTATCATGGTGATGAGAGGTTTAGAGATACAAACATCCGTTCAGGTGATAAAACACAACTCAGTGGCATTCACCTGGACTCAGGGTTCATTAGAGTTCTTTGCGTCCTTCTGTACCCATCTTCACAATGTCAACCTATTATTTCTTCTTATGCAATAGTCACCTTTCTTGTATCACATCTTGACATTGTCAAATTATTACCTCTTCTTATACCTTGACTGCAATAGCCACCTTTATTGTATCATAGACGTTTTTAATGGAGCAATTCAATTACTGCCCGATATGATAATATTTGGGGCGTCCCTTACGCCTATGTCAGGGATCTGAAAAGTCAACCTATTTTTTCTGAAGAACGCTCATTTGTCTGTTTTTTTTCATTATCTACGGATTAAAATAATCTTCGTGCTTTTCAGCAGATTACAAAACAATTCCATAATCTGGTGACATTCTATTTATATCATTCCAATCAAATTACTGCATCATACCAATCATATTGCTGCATCATACCAATCAAATTACTGCATCATACCAATCAAATTACTGCATCATATCAATCAAATTACAGCATCATACCAATCAAATTGCTGCATCATATCAATCAAATTGCTGCATCATACCGATCAAATTGCTGCATCATATCAATCAAATTACTGCATCATACCAATCAAATTGCTGCATCATACCAATCAAATTGCAGCATCATACCAATCAAATTGCTGCATCATACCAATCAAATTACTGCATCATACCAATCAAATTGCAGCATCATACCAATCAAATTGCTGCATCATACCAATCAAATTACTGCATCATACCAATCAAATTACTGCATCATACCAATCAAATTGCAGCATCATACCAATCAAATTACTGCATCATACCAATCAAATTGCAGCATCATACCAATCAAATTACTGCATCATACCAATCAAATTGCAGCATCATACCAATCAAATTACTGCATCATACCAATCAAATTGCTGCATCATACCAATCAAATTGCTGCATCATACCAATCAAATTGCTGCATCATACCAATCAAATTGCTGCATTCCGTGATACAATAAAGGTTTTTATTGGAATCAAGGTATTAGATGTTCGTAATAGCTTGACATTGTGAAGCTGCTCTGTCTTGGATGAAGATATACATTTTGTGAATAGAGCTCATTCGCCTGCATTTTCATTATCTACTATCTACTCTGATTAAAATGCAGATCTTCAGGCTTTATTCGCCGATACGAAAACGATTTCAGGTTGAAAATGGTGGCACATTGATTTTATATTAGGCTCAGAAAACAAGACTCAAGTTGATGCTTGAATGAAAAAATCAAAAAGACTCAACAGATACATTCGAATTGTGTTTAAAGGGACGATAGATTATCTAACAGTTTTGCAAAGTGTGAAGAATGCTTGTACTGTCACTTTAAAAATTAAGTTGGTCTTATCGAAAACAATTTCATATTTTCTCATCAAAAAACTGGAGTAAATGAAGATACTGGTAATATTAAAAGTTATTTAAAGAAACAAGTTTTAAATTTGGAACATTTATTTACCTCCACAATCAACTTACAAACAGGGGTAAGATAAGAGTTCAAACTATATTCATTAGAATCTAGCATAGTACTGTGAGTGAAAGGGTGGCTGGGGTATTGGGGGTGGGAGACTCATTGTCTGCAAACATGCGCAAAGATAACGGTAAATCACGAAAGTGGAAAACGCGACATGACGGGCCCGCTGTTCGTCCGCTTGACAGAAACTAGGTATGAGATCGCGTGTTTCGGACTACTTTAAAGCAAATGCTCGATGTTAACTAAAACATTAAATTATGTCCAAATTTCTCCAGTGTAGTTTGAGATCTCTGGGTGCAGGATGTATATTTCTACAGTTTTTCCTACTCAACTCTAGCTGTAATGCTGAGGATTGTGTATCTGAAACGTGGGTCGATAAGTTTAGATGAGCTCGTAACGTATCATAACTTTATTTCACGATAACTCTGTAAAAAGTGAACGATCCTACATATTACTATTTCTACCCAATTAACTAGCTGTCCTGATGAGGATTGTTTCGTCCGAAACATGGGTCGAAGTTGAGCTCTAGTCAATTCTTGAACAAATCAGACGATAGTACCAAAAGCAATTATTGTTGTCTGACATTTGTGCTAAATATCGGTTCTTCCAATCGATAGGAATTCAGAATCGCCGTGTGTTTCAGAAGCTGGTATCGGTATGGTCGACAAAACCGGAAGTAGAGCTTTCATCTCGTCACTAGACTCCACAGAGCTCGCAGTTTCTTTATGGGCTTTCCTGTCTTCGTTCAGAGAAAGTTTGCCAAATTCTGTTAACGTTGAAATGACTGTTGTGACCATGGTAACAGGACCATCTGCTTCTAACACTACGTCCCTGGCTTGCGAGTCAGCAGAACGTTGCTTGTGGTATCTCGCTTTCCGACGAAGCTCACAGAGCCCGACATCTTTAGGTCGCGGTGTAACACTCTTACTACGGTGTTTCACTCGTTTTTTTTCGTGGGTCTCAACGATGCTGTGCCTCTTCTGAGTAGCAGCCGGCTTCGCGACTCCAAAGGTTTTGCTTTTCAGGATTGACGTAAGTTTTACTGCTCGGACAAATTTTGCATTTCCACACAAGAATGATAAATCAGATCGTTCGTAACCTTTCGACTGAAACCATTCGGCAGCCGTGCGTCCAGTTTGTTTGTCTCGAAGACTCTTTTGGGCTCGTCCTTGCGCAACTAGAATTTGAGCGCAGGTTAAGTTGGTATTGCGGGCGGCTTCCAGAAGAGCAGAGAATCCTTGATCATTGACGTGATCTACCTTCAGTCCGAGTCTCCGGAAACTTTTTACCAAGATCTCAAGAGCTACGTCATTTCCTTCTCGAGCACAATATATCAGAGGAGTATTGCCTGAAAAGAAAGTTGTTATTAATTCTGAATTGTTTCCAAATGACCTTCTGATGACCTGAGACAGACAGCAATAAAAATGAATTCTTTCCAAACAGTCAGATTAATGTATTTTGATCGATTTTCTATTTTGGATGACATTTTGGTTTAAAAATAACCAGAGTATGCATTAACAAATTAACAAGATGACTGGATTGTTCGTGCCTACGTATTCCGGTACGTAGCTTTAGACCTGGGGAATTGTTTTAACCCCACCCTTACTTACCCCACACACCCTCACCAACGATGTCAAGCTTTTACACACTGCGTCAAATACCTAGATACACCCCGAAACCCGATATATTGTGATCTACTGTTCCTATGAGAAAGAGAACTAATGCCCGATACTTACCGGATTTGTCGGGAAAATCAGGGTCTATATTGTGAACTTGAATCAACATCAAGACTATATCGTTACATTTTCTCTCACAAGCATGACTCAAGGCACTTCGCCCGTCACTATCTACCAGGTTCACGTTGGCGTTCTTCCCCAGAAGTAACTTCGTCAACTGGTCCCGAGTTGATTCTTCCTACAATTATAAATTAAAGAGATTGTAAAGAGGTTTGTAAACTTTTTACGTGTATCGGGGATACTGATAGCATCAATTTACACCATTTCAATATTCATTTCGACGTCCGTGGTTCTTGCAAGTCCACTAAAACTAACTCGTTCCCCTCTACTGGCGTCATAAAACGCGTCTGTGTAAGTGAAATTGCAAGAACCACAGACGTCGGAATGAAAATTGAAATGGTGTAAGTTGATGTTATCAGTGTCCCTGATACACATAAAAATTTTAAAAAACCTCTTTACAATCCCTTTTAGGTTGATGAATTTGAAGAGATTTCAAACTGGTAAAACGTCATCACAAAGTACAGGATAGACTTATAGTTATATAGACTCAGTGGCTTTTGTACGGGGGAGGGGCAGGGGGCATGCTCCTCTCACTAGACAATATAAGCTGTAACGATTTTGCCCCCTCCTCACTTTCAATGTTTTTTCTAGTTTACCTAGCGAAAGAATGGTCTATGGCCCCCCATGAAAATATTTTGGCCCCTGCTCGACCCCCTCGCCTAATGTTTCCTAGAAACGCCACTGTGTAGAATTCCGTTCACGTTTTTCTCCAAAAGTGTCTCTGATAAACAAAGGAGACTTATAGAAATAAAATTGGAAGCGAGAGTGGGTGGTTTTCACTCAGCAAAGTTCTTTATCGCTTTTGAAATATTGCACTATATCTGTCAATCAAGTCTTACCTTGAGTAAACAGCTAGCTATTAAAGGAGTCCGACCGTCTATATCTCGACAATTCTGTAGTTTATTTTCCGTTGCGTCCAAAATAAATTTCACTAGATGAATCTTTCCAAGTCTCAAGGCTTCAAATAAATGTTTAACATCTGTCTTATCAAGTTTCTCAAAACTCTTGCTACAACTTTCTCTCCATTGTTCGTTGTTGAAACGTTTACGTTTGCTGCTTGCGTCTGGTTTTCGCAAACGGTTGTACATATTTACAAGCGTTTATATAAACGCACGGGTGACGGAAAAGTATTAGCTATAATGGTATGTTTCCAAAACTCTGATTGAGGTATTTGTTCACGTGTAAAGTATTTATAAAATATTGTTTAAGTCAAGCCATCTAATCATGTTTTCGTTTCAACCTTCACACAAGTTTTGGTGGAAATACACCAGTACACAAATACACAACACGGGCAATATGTACACAATTTTCAAAATGTTTTAACCAAAAGTATGTTTGTTTGTAACGCGCAATAAGAATTTGTCACGCTATGCTGAAAATAACCGTTCCTTCTACTAGAAAAAACACAAACTATTTTTGTCCTCGGTTTCCTAAAACTGAAAAACTCCAAACTGCGTCAATCTCAGCTAGCTGTTTTCGACTCGAATTCTCTCGAATGCCCTTCATGAATTCTCTTGCCATCGTTTTATGTACCATTAAGACTGTAAATAACACTACTAAAGTACAAAAGGCAGGCAGCTATTTTTTCTGTTGTTACCAACTGCCTGCTATCGACTGGGAATCTCTGGTTGTTGTTTTTCAGGATAAATAATAAGTCTAGCAATTGAATTGGTAGCTCGGTTGGCCTGATTTGCCATCTGTCTCTTCCATGATAAAGCCGCGAATAGACGGTGTGCGGTGTGGGATTGTTGGTACAGAAGAATTTTAGAAATAATGAACACACGATTGGGCGTAAGAAACTGTGTTAGAAGCTAAGACCCTAGGATATCTTAGAAACAGTGTTAGAAGTTAAGACCCTAGGATATCCTAGAAACAGTGTTAAAAGATAAGACCATAGAATATCCTAGAAACAGTGTTAGAAGTTATCTTAAGACCCTAGGATATCCTAGAAACAGTGTTAGAAGTTAAGACTCTAGGATATCCTAGAAACAATGTTAGAAGTTAAGACCCTAGGATATCCTAGAAACAGTGTTAGAAGTTAAGACCCTAGGATATCCTAGAAACAGTGTTAGAAGTTAAGACTCTAGGATATCCTAGAAACAGTGTTAGAAGATAAGACCCTAGGATATCCTAGAAACAGTGTTTGAAGATAAGACCATAGGATATCCTAGAAACAGTGTTAGAAGTTAAGACCCTAGGATATCCTAGAAACAGTGTTAGAAGTTAAGACCCTAGGATATCCTAGAAACAGTGTTAGAAGTTAAGACCCTAGGATATCCTAGAAACACTGTAAGAAGTTAAGACCCTAGGATATCCTAGAAGCAGTGTTAGAAGTTAAGAGACTAGGATATCCTAGAAACACTGTAAGAAGTTAAGACCCTAGGATATCCTAGAATCAATGTTAGAAGATAATAACCTAGGATATCCTAGAATCAATGTAAGAAGTTAAGACCCTAGGATATCCTAGAATCAATGTTAGAAGATAAGAACCTAGGATATCCTAGAATCAATGTAAGAAGTTAAGACCCTAGGATATCCTAGAAACAGTGTAAGAAGTTAAGAGACTAGGATATCCTAGAAACAATGTTAGAAGTTAAGAGACTAGGATATCCTAGAAACAATGTTAGAAGTTAAGACCCTAGGATATCCTAGAATCAATGTTAGAAGATAAGACCCTAGGATATCCTAGAAACACTGTAAGAAGTTAAGAGACTAGGATATCCTAGAAACACTGTAAGAAGTTAAGACCCTAGGATATCCTAGAAACAGTGTTTGAAGATAAGACCCTAGGATATCCTAGAAACAGTGTTTGAAGATAAGACCCTAGGATATCCTAGAAACACTGTAAGAAGTTAAGACCCTAGGATATCCTAGAAACAGTGTTAGAAGATAAGAGACTAGGATATCCTAGAATCAATGTTAGAAGTTAAGACCCTAGGATATCCTAGAATCAATGTTAGAAGATAAGACCCTAGGATATCCTAGAAACACTGTAAGAAGTTAAGAGACTAGGATATCCTAGAAACAATGTTAGAAGTTAAGATCCTAGGATATCCTAGAAACAGTGTAAGAAGTTAAGACCCTAGGATATCCTAGAAACAGTGTAAGAAGTTAAGAGACTAGGATATCCTAGAAACACTGTAAGAAGTTAAGACCCTAGGATATCCTAGAAACAGTGTTTGAAGATAAGACCCTAGGATATCCTAGAAACAGTGTTTGAAGATAAGACCCTAGGATATCCTAGAAACACTGTAAGAAGTTAAGACCCTAGGATATCCTAGAAACAGTGTTAGAAGATAAGACCCTAGGATATCCTAAAAACAGTGTTTGAAGATAAGACCCTAGGATATCCTAGAAACACTGTAAGAAGTTAAGACCCTAGGATATCCTAGAAGCAGTGTTAGAAGTTAAGAGACTAGGATATCCTAGAAACAGTGTTTGAAGTTAAGACCCTAGGATATCCTAGAATCAATGTTAGAAGATAATAACCTAGGATATCCTAGAATCAATGTAAGAAGTTAAGACCCTAGGATATCCTAGAATCAATGTTAGAAGATAAGAACCTAGGATATCCTAGAATCAATGTAAGAAGTTAAGACCCTAGGATATCCTAGAATCAATGTTAGAAATTAAGAGACTTGGATATCCTAGAAACAGTGTTAGAAGTTAAGAACCTAGGATATCCTAGAAACAGTGTTAGAAGTTAAGACTCTAGGATATCCTAGAAACAGTTAAGAGACTAGGATATCCTAGAAACAGTGTTAGAAGATAATAACCTAGGATATCCTAGAATCAATGTAAGAAGTTAAGACTCTAGGATATCCTAGACACACTGTAAGAAGTTAAGAGACTAGGATATCCTAGAATCAATGTTAGAAGTTAAGACCCTAGGATATCCTAGAATCAATGTTAGAAGTTAAGAACCTAGGATATCCTAGAAACAGTGTTAGAAGTTAAGACTCTAGGATATCCTAGAAACACTGTAAGAAGTTAAGAGACTAGGATATCCTAGAAACAGTGTTAGAAGTTACGAACCTAGGATATCCTAGAATCAATGTTAGAAGATAAGACCATAGGATATCCTAGAAACACTGTTAGAAGTTAAGACCCTAGGATATCCTAGAAACAGTGTAAGAAGTTAAGAGACTAGGATATCCTAGAAACACTGTAAGAAGTTAAGAGACTAGGATATCCTAGAAGCAGTGTTAGAGGTTAAGACCCTAGGATATCCTAGAAACAGTGTTAGAAGATAAGACCCTAGGATATCCTAGAAACAGTGTTTGAAGATAAGACCCTAGGATATCCTAGAAACATTGTTAGACGTGAAGACCCTAGGTGTCCTAGAAACAGTGTTAGAAGTTAAGACTCTAGGATATCCTAGAAACAGTGTTAGAAGTTAGGACTCTAGGATATCCTAGAAACAGTGTTAGAAGATAAGACCCTAGGATATCCTAGAAACAGTGTTTGAAGATAAGACCCTAGGATATCCTAGAAACATTGTTAGACGTGAAGACCCTAGGTGTCCTAGAAACAGTGTTAGAAGTTAAGACTCTAGGATATCTTAGAAACAGTGTTAGAAGTTAAGACTCTAGGATATCCTAGAAACAGTGTTAGAAGTTAAGCTAGCCAAGTGCTTAGATAGTTTCGATAGTTACGCGGCCAGAATTTGAATGAGATTGGGGACTTTGTATTAAATGTCACTGTATAATTTGTAACTGTATAATTTGACTATAGAGACTCGGAATAAATGATAATTCATACCGTGTATAAATAAACCAAGTACTAACGATCCAAAACACGAAATCCAAACACCATGGTAGCAGCTGCTGAACTTTTTATACGAGGAAGTATATCTATTATAAGTAAGTATTTCATAATGAAAGTGGTATCAGGTGTCTAAGTGAGTAAGTATTTCATAATGAAAGTGGTATCAGGTAGCTAAGTGAGTAAGTATTTCATAATGAAAGAGGTATCAGGTGTCTAAGTGAGTAAGTATTTCATAATGAAAGAAGTATCAGGTGTCTAAGTGAGTAAGTATTTCATAATGAAAGAAGTATCAGGTGTCTAAGTGAGTAAGTATTTCATAATGAAAGAAGTATCAGGTATTTAAGTGAGTAAGTATTTCATAATGAAAGTGGTATCAGGTAGCTAAGTGAGTAAGTATTTCATAATGAAAGTGGTATCAGGTATTTAAGTGAGTAAGTATTTGAATCCAAAGAATTTATTCCACGTTAAGCTTCAAGCTCTCTTTATAGTGGTTCTGTGGATGTCGGCTGAGCTGATTTATCATAATGCTGATAATGCGATTCAATCTTATTAAAATTAGTTTACAATTTAAATGTTTTTTTTTTCAAATATCTTTCGTCTCCATTGTAGTCTAACAAGTTTTCTTCCACAGTCTCGTTATAATGACGTGATATTTAACCAATCAAAGCGTGTAAAGTTGATAACAATAACAAATTGTGGGATAGCGAACCCAACGAGGGTTTTATGTTGGCTCTACTTTCGGTTTTGCTTTTCGAAAATTCTTCATTCTCTTTTTTGGTTGAAAAAAATGCAGCTATTAATTTACAAGAACCATCCACCACTGGCCACAGGAAATTCTCTCACTATGTTGTGGCTCTAGAACTTAATAAAAAGGCTAGAAAACCAGAGGGAACCCTGTTAATCAGGACGCGTATACACCTACCCCCCTTCCCCCACTTCTGTAAGACCTCACGCCTTTCATCCATGTACTAGCCACGGGCCGCTTTCCATATAAAACATACAGGTCAGTGAACGTATTCTCGAAATGCTCCTAGTGCTGGAATCAATGTTAGAAGATAAGAACCTAGGATATCCTAGAATCAATGTTAGAAGATAAGAACCTAGGATATCCTAGCACTAAGATCGTTTCGAGAATACGTGGCCAGGGGAAGCCTCTTATGAGTAACTTTAAGTGTTGGCCTTTGGCATGTCACATACACCGGAAGGTCAAGTCTTGGGACTAATTCCATTACGAGTCTGAATATACAAATATCAACCGTCAGCACGCGAGTTGTTTTCTCTTAATGAATTACCTTAATTAGCCACCATATAATTAGTGATCCTGGCCATGATTCTCCTGTGATTTCGTAGTTGCCATGAAATGTGTCTGTTATTTCACCATGTAATAATATTGTGCTCGTCGTTTCAAATAAAAGAGTCTAGTCTTTGTATGTGTATCAGAGACACTTATAGCTTCTATTTACACCATTCTGTTTTTCTAGTCTTTGTATGTGTATCAGAGACACTTATAGCTTCTATTTACACCATTCTGTTTTTCTAGTCTTTGTATGTGTATCAGAGACACTTATAGCTTCTATTTACACCATTCTGTTTTTCTAGTCTTTGTATGTGTATCAGAGACACTTATAGCTTCTATTTACACCATTCTGTTTTTCTAGTCTTTGTATGTGTATTAGGGACACTTATAGCTTCTATTTACACCATTCTGATTTTCTAGTCTTTGTATGTGTATCAGGGACACTTATAGCTTCTATTTACACCATTCTGATTTTCTAGTCTTTGTTTCTGTATTAGAGACACTTATAGCTTCTATTTACACCATTCTGATTTTCTAGTCTTTGTATGTGTATCAGTGACACTTATAGCTTCTATTTACACCATTCTGATTTTCTAGTCTTTGTATGTGTATCAGAGACACTTACAGCTTCTATTTACACCATTCTGATTTTCTAGTCTGTGTATGTGTATCAGAGACACTTACAGCTTCTATTTACACCATTCTGATTTTCTAGTCTTTGTATATGTATCAGAGACACTTATAGTTTCTATTTAAACCATTCTGATTTTCTAGTCTTTGTATTTGTATCAGAGACACTTATAGTTTCTATTTAAACCATTCTGATTTTCTAGTCTTTGTTTCTGTATTGGAGACACTTATAGCTTCTATCTATTTACATCATTTTGATTTTCAGTTTGTGAACGTGTATAATGTCCGGTGACGGTGTGAAGTTACCTGTAAGAGACTACACTACCCAACACATGCAGTTTTGATATGGCTATTATTATTTCAGGAAATCCACTGCTCCGCTTTGAAAAATAAAACCAAAAAAAAAATCTTTCGATGTTAACATTTGAATATTCAAGATGAAACGTTCTGACACAATGGTCGTCAAAGTTGTCATGTTGAATAAATGAAAGAGGTAAACATTACGAGAAGAATTTATAGGTATTACAAACAAACCGGTTCACTGTATGTCAATCATAAATAATTTGCCTGTAGAAAAGCAACTCATGCCAAATCATCGTGTTCGCCTAATGGACCTGTCGCTATTTCTGCTTCCTGTGGTCAGATTGAACGCCATTAACAATATTAGACTGTAAACGGGCATTTTCTCCTGATTGGTAAACGTCATCGAATCACGAATACGGGTTTTGACATGGTCCTATTAACCGAAAAAGTAGGACGAATGTGGTTGTGGTTCGGACATGATGGGTAAACGTATATATAAAGGAACATTTCTCTAGAATCAGATCGGGAGGTGTTTAGTCTTATGACTCTAGTGTTTGGAACAATGACTCTACCCTAGGGTGTTAAGTGTATGTATCTACAGCCGGGTTTACACTGCCATACAAATTGGCCTGCTAGACTGGCTGGTACCGTTTACACTGCGCTGTTTTTACTGGGCTAGAATGGTGAGTCAGGTATGAAAATATTGACCCCGGGATTTGGCGCGACGTCATCTATTTAGCGACGAAATAGGAACCCTAATGGAATTACTATAGGGTCTGAGGTAAACGACTGGCCCCCAAAAACCAGGGACAGTAACCAGTGGTGCTAGCCCACTATTGAAACCGGTCACTACCAACATCAGAATTGCCTTTACCATTTTATTGGTCTATTATGGAAGAATGAATGATCATACAGAGTTGTGTGGGTATCAGAGAAAGCAGGGAAAACATGGACAAAAACGAGAACTATAGGTGGAAAACTATAGCTCAGTGATTTCATTTTGGAACTATTTCTTCATCTATTGCTATCTACCAGCTGGTAGAAAGGTTCCTTATTATGAACCTAAGTTGTTATCCTTGTAAAATTGTCAAGAGGTTTGGCCAAGGACCAGCTGGTAGAAAGGATCTTTAACTGTGAACCCAAGTTGTTATCCTTGTAAAATTGTCAAGAGGTTTGGTCAAGGACCAGCTGGTAGAAAGGATCCTTATTATGAACCTAAGTTGTTATCATTGTAAAATTGTCAAGAGGTTTGGCCAAGGACCAGCTGGTAGAAAGGATCTTTAACTGTGAATCCAAGTTGTTATCCTTGTAAAATTGTCAAGAGGTTTGGTCAAAGACCAGCTGGTAGAAAGGATCCTTATTATGAACCTAAGTTGTTATCCTTGTAAAATTGTCAAGAGGTTTGGCCAAGGGCCAGCTGGTAGAAAGGATCTTTAACTGTGAACCCAAGTTGTTATCCTTGTAAAATTGTCAAGAGGTTTGGCCAAGGACCAGCTGGTAGAAAGGATCTTTAACTGTGAACCCAAGTTGTTATCCTTGTAAAATTGTCAAGAGGTTTGGCCAAGGACAAGGGCCAGCTGGTAGAAAGGATCTTTAACTGTGAACCCAAGTTGTTATCCTTGTAAAATTGTCAAGAGGTTTGGTCAAGGATCAGCTGGTAGCAAGGATCCTTGTGAACCTAAGTTGTTATCCTTGTAAAATTGTCAAGAGGTTTGGCCAAGGACCAGCTGGTAAAAAGGATCTTTAACTGTGAACCCAAGTTGTTATCCTTGTAAAATTGTCAAGAGGTTTGGCCAAGGACCAGCTGGTAGAAAGGATCTTTAACTGTGAACCCAAGTTGTTATCCTTGTAAAATTGTCAAGAGGTTTGGTCAAGGATCAGCTGGTAGAAAGGATCCTTGTGAACCTAAGTTGTTATCCTTGTAAAATTGTCAAGAGGTTTGGCCAAGGTCCAGCTGGTAGAAAGGATCCTTGTGAACCTAAGTTGTTATCCTTGTAAAATTGTCAAGAGGTTTGGCCAAGGACCAGCTGGTAGAAAGGATATTTAACTGTGAACCCAAGTTGTTATCCTTGTAAAATTGTCAAGAGGTTTGGCCAAGGACCAGCTGGTAGAAAGGATCTTTAACTGTGAACCCAAGTTGTTATCCTTGTAACATTGTCAAGAGGTTTGGCCAAGGTCCAGCTGGTAGAAAGGATCCTTGTGAACCTAAGTTGTTATCCTTGTAAAATTGTCAAGAGGTTTGGCCAAGGACCAGCTGGTAGAAAGGATATTTAACTGTGAACCCAAGTTGTTATCCTTGTAAAATTGTCAAGAGGTTTGGCCAAGGACCAGCTGGTAGAAAGGATCTTTAACTGTGAACCCAAGTTGTTATCCTTGTAACATTGTCAAGAGGTTTGGCCAAGATCCAGCTGGTAGAAAGGATCCTTGTGAACCTAAGTTGTTATCCTTGTAAAATTGTCAAGAGGTTTGACCAAGGACCAGCTGGAAGAAAGGCTCCTTATTGTGAACCTAAGTTGTTATCTTTGCGTTGAGTAAAAAAATAACCAACACATTTTGATCAATATCGATGCTGGTTTTTCATGTTATTTATAAGACAGCAGCGAGAATTACGCCCAACAGGCTTTTTCGCCAGAATGGCCAATGTTAATATATCAACGCCATTCTTGAATAAATTAATTAATAGATTAATAAATGAAAATATCAATGAATCAAGAAAAAATCAAAAAATCAATAAAACAAGCAAAAATCAAGAAATCAAAAAATCAAAACAACACTAAAATCAAATCAACAAATTCAACAAAATATTTTAATAAAAGTACAAACTTGTAAAATACTCTCTGAATTGTGGCAAGAACTCGNCTCTGCACTATGGTCAGTGGCAGCGAGAGTGGGGCATCTGGACTATGGTCAGTGGCGGCGAGAGTGGGGCATCTGCACTATGGTCAGTGGCGGCGAGAGTGGGGCATCTGCACTATGGTCAGTGGCAGCGAGAGTGGGGCATCTGCACTATGGTCAGTGGCGGCGAGAGTGGGGCATCTGCACTATGGTCAGTGACGACGAGAGTGGGGGCGAGAGTGGGGCATCTGCACTACGGTCAGTGGCAGCGAGAGTGGGGCATCTGCACTATGGTCAGTGGCAGCGAGAGTGGGGCATCTGCACTATGGTCAGTGGCGGCGAGAGTGGGGCATCTGCACTATGGTCAGTGGCGGCGAGAGTGGGGCATCTGCACTATGGTCAGTGGCGGCGAGAGTGGGGGCGAGAGTGGGGCATCTGCACTATGGTCAGTGGCAGCGAGAGTGGGGCATCTGCACTATGGTCAGTGGCGGCGAGAGTGGGGCATCTGCACTATGGTCAGTGACGACGAGAGTGGGGGCGAGAGTGGGGCATCTGCACTACGGTCAGTGGCAGCGAGAGTGGGGCATCTGCACTATGGTCAGTGGCAGCGAGAGTGGGGCATCTGCACTATGGTCAGTGGCGGCGAGAGTGGGGCATCTGCACTATGGTCAGTGGCGGCGAGAGTGGGGCATCTGCACTATGGTCAGTGGCGGCGAGAGTGGGGGCGAGAGTGGGGCATCTGCACTATGGTCAGTGGCAGCGAGAGTGGGGCATCTGCACTATGGTCAGTGGCGGCGAGAGTGGGGGCGAGAGTGGGGCATCTGCACTATGGTCAGTGGCGGCGAGAGTGGGGCATCTGCACTATGGTCAGTGGCGGCGAGAGTGGGGGCGAGAGTGGGGCATCTGCACTATGGTTAGTGGCAGCGAGAGTGGGGCATCTGCACTATGGTCAGTGGCGGCGAGAGTGGGGCATCTGCACTACGGTCAGTGGCAGCGAGAGTGGGGCATCTGCACTATGGTCAGTGGCAGCGAGAGTGGGGCATCTGCACTATGGTCAGTGGCAGCGAGAGTGGGGCATCTGCACTATGGTCAGTGGCAGCGAGACTGGGACATCTGCAATACACAAAAATGTGTATCAGAAAGCACCAAATCAATTCCATTTTTCAAAAATTTTCTAGGGGGAGAACAGTCTGAAAGATTCCTTGACAGATTTGTGTATTGTGGAAGGACTGTCACATTTGAAATCTCAATCCCGATAGTTAACCCTTTAGTTATCCACCCCCTCCCCCCCCCCCCCCCCTTGGACCATGATTGTACCCCCAGAGTCCAGGCTGGCATTGCCATTGTCCATGTCTTCGACCTTTCTCAATAAAACACTGTGAGCGGGTCTTTGAAGGCTTTTCTTAGAAATCAGTAGTCTTCAACACATGAATCACGGAATATGACGAATTCAACGAGAACGATTAAATCTTTCTCTAAACCCACCAACTGGATTATTCTTTAATCTTCACACACAAACTGGATCAGGGCCAGAATTCAACGGGGGCTCTGAAATGGTATACAATAGAAATGATATACATAGAAATGATATACAATTGAAATGGTATACATAGAAATGATATACCATTGAAATAATATACAATTGAACTGGTATACAATTGAAATGATATACAAGGGGAATGATATACAATTGGAATGATATACAATTGAAATGAAATACAATTGAAATAATATACCGGAGAAATGATATACAATTGAAATGATATACAATTGGAATGGTATACAATTAAAATGGT